TTTGTTGAGCCATTGCCGCACAGTGCTTTCTCTAGCACTATTGGGCCCCCACACCTGGTTAATTTGTTGAGCTGTTTCGATTGCGGATTGCCCCAATTTATAGTCGAAGAAAAAAATCGTCCGAAGTGCTCTTTTCACATGCTTGAAAAAATCTTGAAAAAAGGGGGTTTATCAAGCAATGGTGAAACGGCAATTATACCATCAGATAGCGCAAGAAATTCTCTACAGGATGTGCTACTGAGAAGCAAGGCAGAATGAGTTTTTAATCAGCAGTGAATGTACAAAAAATAGGTGCACAAAACGCTGAGAACTTTCCGGACAACCTAATATTTAGCGAAGCATCTACAAGCCATCTTGTGAAGACTCTGTAAACCCTAGTAACCAGCGTGGCTCACTTGAACCATTACGAAGCTTCACAAGGGTTTATACAGGGGGGCCAAAAAAAAGTCACTTCGACCGAGTCACATATCAGCAAAGTTTTCGCAGCCCAGAGAGAAGACGTGGATACGAGTACCAGGGCGGAAGATACCCAAGATGTTCCTCGATAAGCAGGAGCTGGCCTCGCCCATCACCTTCATGTACACCAAAATATGAAGTCATCTCCAGTCGCAGCCTGACTGGAGAAGACCTTTGGAATTCATGTCACCTCCAAACAGCTGCGAAACTTCTAGTGTGGAGTCACCCATGGATAGCTACCTGGAGACCAGTACTCTCAATCTGGAAGACCTCCAACATCGAGCAGCTCCGACAACGTCGCTACGGTCTAGGACATCATCTTCACCGCAGTCGCCAAGGCGCCAGTTGATGGTGGGGACCGGACGTACCTGGAATGGAGAGACCAATATTTTCTTCGTGGACCCCGGACTGAAGGTGAGCGCTGGCGGTTACATTGAGCAACTCGTGAAGAATATCCTCACATGTCGTCGCCCGTACCTTCTTGGAAACTTTGTACTGCTACAGCATTGGGTGCCACCACGTGGAATCGAAGGGCGTTGGAGAAACTCTCGCCTACTTGGAATGGAAGGGGGCTGAGTACCTAAAGAAGATGGAATATCCAAGTAGGTCACCTGACCTGAATCCCCTCAATTACCCGGTTCGGGCGGAGTTCAATAGGGTGGTCTACGGTGGCGGAGAAATCGACTATCTCGCTGATCTCAGGCACCACATCGCGGTCGCGTGCCAGAATCTCTCGATGGCGCTCGTCCAGAAGGCTGTGGCAGGAAGTCAAATAATGATATTATTTGAAACATTTTGAACCGAGACCCCTTAGCAGTAGTAGGTGCCTTGATCGAAGTTGTCGGAAATCGGTAATCCCAGTTAGCAGGATTCGAGGTGCAACCCATCTCCGGCAAGAGCACAGGGAAATCACCCTACGACGCTCCAGGCAACGCTATGTACACACGCAATTCCGCTTGTAAGCCGTTGTCTTGCAGAGTGAAAGTAATCGTGGTTGCAATGGTTGCAATAATCACGCGTCTCTAGCTTCTTTATCTCGCCGTTTCGAGTGACGAAAGTGGTATATTCTCTGCGAATGCGGACAACGATGCCAAATGCACGGAGGCATTTCGCGGACCACTTGATCGCGGGATCTGTCTTCAAATGCCCATTGGTTTCAAGTGTGAGCGTACCGGTGGTCCATTCCAGAAAAAATGCTAATTTTTGAATATCTCTTCGTTTTATATATTTAGTTGCCCTTCACCTACACTATACTACAAATCACTGAAACGCGATAGGCGTGGCTACGTGCGTACTTCACTTGATATGGTGGTGGCGGGGTTTTGGTGGGATGCTTTCAATTTGAGACATTTGTAATTATGTCTTTACCCGACAGGACAGGATGGCAGTTGTCTGGAATGGAAAGATCCCATGAATGACCAATACTAGGCCATGATCAAATGAAGTACGTACGCAGCCATGCCTATTGCGTCTCATGGAGGTGGACTGTACCCACCAACTGTTCTTCTTGTCATTCTTGCTAATTATTCATAATCTTTCCGTTAGGATATTTCAAAGCAGGAACTTACTGAATGAAAATTGTTTAGCTTCCTCACCTTCACTGTGTTTATGGCGCTACTAGTAGGGATTTTGACGTATCCAGACGGTTTCGGTCATTTTATTGCCGGCAAGGTAAGACGACAAGAATGAAATTGACTATTCTAAGGTCTTTACACTTCCTATCTCTTTGTTCTTTCATTTCTGCTAGAATGGTTGTCAAGTTTTTGAAGGAAACATTCTGATGTCATTGGAATACACCTCTAGAAGACAATCAAAGAGCTATTGAACAACGTGCAAAACAAGATGGAGCACGTCATTCGCCTAGACATGCATAGGCATTAGTCAGAAGGGGCAACTGACGGATGTTTCAAATCTTTCAAACAAGTCGGCATCACAAAAGTTTCGCGATTAATCAGAGGTGTCTCACCGGAGCTAATTGACGAATGCAGAAGATGAAAAATCACAACAGAATTTCCACCAAACCATAGCCCTTACGGGACTGTTGATTTGATTGAGCTTGCAGAAAAATAGGCACTATTGAACTATTCCTACCCCAAAAACTCAAAAAAATTTTCCGCTGAAACTTTGCCTATAGATGTTATACGATGTCCTGATCACGAATATGACATTCATTTTTGCGCTGGCGCCATTTGGCGCCAATAGGCGCCAACATGACGCCACCACTTTTCTCACCAAATTTGATGAAAACTTCTATACGGGGCTTAATTGACATCCTGATCACGAGCATGGCATTTACTTTTGCCGCTGGCGTCACACCGTTTTTTCCCAAAATCGGCAAAAACTTGCGTAATAGGGTTGTTCGATGCCCTGATCACGAATAGAGCATTTATTTCTCGACACCAGCGCCATTTAGCCTTCTGTTAAGGCCGAACCTGTGAGAAGGAGTGATTCCCTTCAGGCCAGGCTCAGCCTCAGCGGAGCCCGGATGATCATAGTGTCCTACATTAGCGCCGACGCCAGGAATAAATGTCATATTCGTAATCAGGGTGTCAAAAAACCCCAGTATGTAAGTTTCGACTTTGATGACCTAGAATGTTTTAGCGCCGTCGCCAGGCGGTTGGCGCGAGCGAAAGCGGTTTTCGTTACTATTCAGTATTTATTGTATGCACCATAGGCGGCAATGAGCAACATAAAGCAACTGCAAATCAAAAAAGAGCTAATGACAAAATGTACTGCAACATTCAGAACTCGATGTAATTAAAAGAAATTCGATGAAAAGGTAAAGCAGCGTAAGGTAACGTGTAACTCGGAAACCTGACCATTTCCTTTCACCGTTCAGGAGGTCAAACCACACCTAAGGACAAGGTTTTAACGAATTTGGTGATTCAGGACATTTTGGCGCCTGTGCCTTGCGACCAGGCGCCGTTTCGGCTAAGCGGATGTGATATTCGTGTAGGAATCGAACTTTCACAACAGAGCCATTTTCAACCAAGATCTGCCCTCCGAAAAAAATTGTAAAAAGCCTGATTCAGAGAAACGTGGGGTAGAAATAGTTCAGTAGGTGCCGAAAAATACATAAAAGACCTTTTATGTCGAATTTCTGTAATAATACTGTGGGTTACAGCTGACCTTCCGTGAGACGATGGCCGACTTCTTCAACAATTGCACCTGGTACACCAACGAGACCACGAGGATGTGAGTGAAACCTTGCACTTCTGCATGTAGGAAATACCGATATATGTACACTAATATAATATACCATTTGTTTTTTTAGTAAGACTAACCGTGAGCGTTCTAATAAATCAGAACTTTGTTGTGGTTCAAATACCGTTCTCTGCTGCTACGGTTGTATTCATCTTCCAAATTCGATCGCGATGTGTTAACAGGATTTTTTCGGAGACATTAGTGTAGTGAGGTTTAGTGGCACGCTTCGAAAGTGCAGATAGTATTAGCTGCATGTTTGATGACGGAGAGAAATTTGAAAGCAGGCCTAACGTTGTATACTGTGGATCCTCTGGTTCAAGCGGCTCTGACTGTAGTCTGACCCATAGAATCGCCCAGAAATTAAAAGTTAAAATGAACTCAAAAAATCGAGATGATTGCATAAGACAGATAATCTTTATGATGACTCTTGGGTTGATCTACATAATGAGTGTACCTCACTGTTCTTACCCTTTATTAACGTTTCAGAACAGGCACTCAGTAAGATGCTCTCGCCCACACAAACAACGTGAATATGCCTTTTGAAAAACTAATAAATGCTTCTCTTAATGTTTACACCTTAGTTTTTATGGCACACGAGACTCCTCCGATTTCCCTAGGACGTGTAGGTGTTGGGACCGCCACTCTTACGAACGTCTACTACGGTCCATCACTTTTTCAGGTGTCGCTGAGCAGTCTCTGTCGGGCACTGGACCGGTGGTGGTACCGTTCACATATTCACATCTCTCACCGCTTACTACTTCGTCTATGTACGTCTCAGCATCGCTTTCGCCGTGAATATCACTTTCCCAGTGCATGCATCTCCTTTCAGTTCTATCGTAGCTTTGCATTTCCATCAATGTACCTGCAGGGGTTTTTGTACCATCATTCGTTATTGGAGCTGCTGGTGGACGTCTCGGTTCGCTTCTTTATTATGTCTTTTTCCATAGTGGTTTTCATGATAATCAAAGGATCAGTGCCTCACTGTCAGCTAAAAAGAAGAGCAAATTGAAAGCACAACAGGGCTGACGCGCTTTTCCTGAAAGTATTGTGAGGGCTGAGTAGAGAAGATGAAGAGAAGAAGCACTGGTAGAATACTGATAAAAGGATAAAGGATGAAGTTTTTGCCGTTGATCAATCCCTTTGTGAGATGCGACACGCATTCCACTTCCACTTAGAATCGAAGTGGCCTATACAATGACTTGCGGGAGGGGGGAGGCCCGATGTACAAGTCAGTGTTCTTATCCTCCCAGACGAATCTGGTACCAATTTACCGTCCCCGGGGGTAGAAGGCTTGGTTGGCCTGGGCGGGAGTCGACCCGGGATTCGAACCCAGGACCGCGCGAGTGGTAAGCGCGCCACTTGTCACTACACCATCTCCACCTCAGAATACTGATAGGTAGTAGTAATGTGAGTCCGCATTGATTGAGAGAGAGTTTATGTCCGTAATCCTTTCGCTTCGTCACTTTCAAAATGCTGAGTTCAGCTGTTCAAGCTCTCCACTTTCAGTGGGTGAAATCATGGTGTACTTCTTCCCCGAAGGAATGCGAGGTCCTGGTGGTCCGCCTATCTATCCCGGCCTGTATGCTGTCGTAGGTAAAGAAATTTTGTTCGCTAGCATAATGCTATCCCAAAAATGGATAAAATGGCCTAAAGAGGTAATTTCAGGAGCTGCAGCTTATACAGGAGCCGTTACTCACACACTGTCAGTAGCTGTGATTATTTGCGAGCTCACAGGACAGCTGGCTCCAATTCTACCTGTCTTGGTGGGTTTCTTTTTACTAACCCAGTTCAGTAGCCTTAACCATGTTCAACGGCTAGATGAATGAAAAATTGGATTTCAAGGGTCAGCTTAATCAGTTTAGAAAGTAGGTGAAATGAAATAGAAAGTATGAATTATCTAAAAAGTATGAATCATCTCCCTTCATCTGCGAAATCAGCGGTGAATCAATTTCAGATCGCAATGCTGATGGGTAACGCTATTTGTAAATTCCTTCAGCCGTCCATATATGAGAGTATTATTCGAATAAAGAAATACCCATACCTGCCCGATTTACCACCTTCAAGAATCAGGTAAGGATCGAGAACAGTGGCCGTCACATGGATACACGTAATGAATCTTAACACTTTTCAGTGTGCATACGGTAAAAGTTGAGCAAGTGATGGTCTGTGACGTCATCTACATAACAAAGGACATGACCTATCGGGAAATGAAGGAAATTCTCCAAATGGCTCCACATCTGCGAAGTTTTCCCATTGTCACCGATCATGGTCAGTTCCGTTAAGCTTCCTGAAAAGCTGAAGATCGACTTTTATTGGTTTTATTACATTTTTATTCTACTATTATTTATTACGTTTTTTATTGATATTTTCACTGCATTTTATTTTATTGTTCTCATACTCTGGTTTTTATTTTGTTCCCATCTGTACATGTACATGAGGCGGTGGTGGTGCAGTGGCAAGTGACACGCTTACCACGTGCGCTATCCGGAGATCGAACCCCAGGCCGACTCCCACTCAGGCCCATCAGGTTTTCGACCGGTAGGGTAAGTTGGTACCAGATTTCCTCTGTGAGGGTAAGAGCACTAACTTGTATATGACTGGCTCTCGCAGGTCATTGTGTAGTGTATATCGCCTTCAATAAACCACTACAATTCCTGGAAGTAAATGAGCGCCGTGTCTCGAAAAGGGCTTGATTAACGGCGAAGGGTTCATTCTTATTTTTACTCATGTACACCCCATAAGTATTTCTGAAGTTAAGGTACCCACGTATTTAGATAAGAGCGCGGCAAGGGTTGGCTAACTGCCGTCAAAATTGCCGGTTTGTGCAGAAAGATGTGAAAGGTACATATGTCGATGTCAACAAAACGTTGGGCAGGGAAATTCTAGGCGCAGGGGGGGGGCTTCTCCCTACCGTCATAAGTTGGCGGTTTCGCAATCAAACTGCTCCTGATAACTGACCGGAAAGGAGCTCCCCCACCCTTACGCTCTCTATAGAGGGTCATATTAAGGAGAACGATCTCCAACGCTTGAACGACGTCTATGATTCAATCGGAGCTCCTTATAAGGTCGAACATACGTCTGGAAGTCCCCGATATCGGGAATCGCCCTCGCTGGGTGAATAGGATTAAACCCTAACGAAAAAAATTTCGGATTGTTAACTCAAAAGTGTGTGGCAGGAGTTACCCAACAGTGGGAGCAACTATTTGAGGCTAGGCTCATAAGATGGATTTATTAATGTTCATCCGGGCAAGTGTGTATAAGCTCAGATTGACAAGTGTCTCGAACTGCTCTATATTTTGAATTTTTCTCCAAAAATCAGACCCCCCCATATCTCTTATCCATTTTATGTACTTTTCATGGTCCCATGTACTGCTGTTCTAGAAAACAAAATCCTTCTGGGATCAGTTGCAAAACGCTATCTCACGATGCTTCTGCGACGGCATGTACTGATCACCCAGCAGGACAGTCGGGCAAGTGTTCGCATGACTCCTTCAGAGATCTTCAACACAATTCGAAGGACTAGCATGAGGTAAAGCATAAAATTCATGAGGACAACGGACATTCTAACCAGGAGTCCAACATTAATCAAGAGTAGTGCAGCAACCTACCGAGAGGCTCATCCATTTTCTCATGCTTTTTGAACACTTCCTCTCTACTTGGCTGCGAAGGAAATATGAGAAAAATTAGGAATATTTTTGTGAATAGATTGAGTCCTTAAACCTGAAGCAGAAATGTGTGCTATCGCTCGCGTTCAGCCTTCTTCCTATTTATTACCCCTTTCCGGACAGCATTTAACTTATTTTTTAGTCTCAGTTTTCGCTTTCATAGATGACTCAGCATCAATCACTTTTCAGGCTCTCCAAAAGGTCACCGTCACGGCGGTCGAAAGATGCAAGAGAAACTGAAAACGGTCGAGCTGAGAGCGAACCACTTGAAGTGGTTACTGATCGCACCTACAGCGGCAACACGCTGCTGTCAATCTCGCCGTTGCACGCTCCGAACAGTGAGTTCAGCTTTACATGTACCTCAAAGAAATAGTAATCTGTCGAAGCAATACACCAGATTATGATTTTAGCTGACGGTGAGTCCTGAAAAGCATAGTCACGCTATGCCATCAAAAACTTCATATGCAGCTGCTTTGAAAACATTTATGTACTAGTCGACTTCCCTGTAAAGAAGCGAGCAGTGGGAGACGTCGAAAACTCCCCAATCAGGCCGCTTGCCCCTATTACAAGCGGGGAGCGGAGATTTGTTAAGGTTTCACACCGGCGAGAGACCATGCAGGATAAGTGAAAGAGCAAACAAACGAGCGTAACGGCAGACGCCAGCTTGCCGATGTTTGTTGCATTCGGGAGTACTCACTCGGACAAACAGACCGAGCATGGGGCTGGACAGCCCGGGTTTTTGAATATTAACGTGGTTATGTTTTTCGGGCATGTTTTTGTAGGGCCGAAGAAAGCAGAAAAAAAGCTGCAGAAAAGCAAAATTCTGTACCGTGGGGATCTGAACCGTCGTCCTACTTTTCACGCTTTTTCGGTGTTCCCGGGAGCGCGCAGCGGAAACGAACCCCACTTTCCCTTACATTATGTGTAAAAAAAGTTTGCAAGAAACGCATTTCGACCTGAACGATCTGCCTTTTTGGCACTCTCAGTTGGCGTGTTTGTCGACGGGGGGGGGGCATTTTGTATTATCATTGCTTCCCTAGTTCCGGTTTACAAATCTCACTCTGGTAAAACTTGTGAACTCTTGTGAAGTATCCTAAAATCGTGTCAACTCGAAAAACGGCTAGGGCCTAAGATGGGTCGACACATGCTATGGCGGAAATGCCCCGTCGAAAAACTGCACCCTCTCAGTTTATCTGACGCGCAATTAAGTAAGAATGTCCGTTGCGGTTCATATTGCCTTTCTCCTTCACAACACATCAACCCCACACGACTTCAAAACTCAAATCTCAGACTCCATACTAAAATACGACCCCATCCGTTGTGGAGGTCACAACGGATGGGGTCGGATTGCTGATCTGTTCATGTTGCATTTTTGCGAAAATCCGGAAGTTTGGCAAGAATTTGTAAAGACTATAGGTAATTTGTGAAAGTGTGGTGAACAGGATAGGGAAGTCGTATTTTTGCTCTGGGGAGAAGGGGTTTTATCTGGTCGTTGGGAGAGAGGAGGTCGTATGTGAGTTTGGGAGAAATTTGCCGTGCTCGGAAATAATCTTTCTCGGTTGTTTGATTTTTCGTGATTTACTATTTCCCCACCCCGCTCGACAGCGAGTTTTCAGGGAAAAAGTAGGAAAATTTTTGAGGAAATTCGGAAAAAGTTTTACGAATTCGAGGAAATTCTACTGTTTTACACTATTTACTCCGCCCCCCCCCGCACTCTTCTGAAAAAAATTTGGGTGAAAAAAGTGGAAAAAAAATTGTAGTCAGGTGTTGGGGAAGGGGGGGGTCGTACCGAGATCCTCCCTCGGAAGAAGCGGGGTCGTACCTACACCACCACCTCACACATCACGATGCTGTACCCTGGTGGTGAAACTGAGCAGGAAACTTGACCGAGGTCTATCAAGAAATTTGCGAGGCTTAAGATGATACCATTACCCATCATTGCCATTCCAAACACATTGCTCTGATGCCTGAAACGATCGCAGAATTCGTCTTAGTTTAAAGCAAGTATCTGATGCACCAATCATTAAAAACCAGTAGTTATCGGATTATTGTTGAGAGGCCAGTTGACATATGTAGAATGACAACAAGAAGACTGCTGTTTCTTGGCTTCCCTCATCTGTTCCTAAAGATATCCTTGACTGCGCAAGCATATTATTTGATTAGCTTTTGTCCTCATACTCTTCGCTCTTTTGTTAAAATTTGTTCCTTTCAGGTGTTCCGCTACAAGCTGTCTTCACAAGGCCTTCCTCAGCTGATCTTCTCAAGGTCAGTTTTGAAATAATATGTACTACATAACCTTCAACTTGTGAGGAGTGGTTTTGAGGTTCAGGATCGAGACCCTGAAGCACTTCTGGATCGTACCATTGATCT